AATAATGATAGAATAGATAGATAGATAAGATAGATAGATAGATTAGATAGATAAGATAGATAGATAGATATATGAAATATATATAAATATATGGTAATGTATATTCATTATTGTATAGTATATATATAGATATATAGTATATTATATATATATAATATATAATATATATGAATATATATATTATATATATATAATCTATGCCATAGTATACACAAATATGACATAAAAGTTAGAATAAGTTTGCTGCATTATACTTTTGAAAATTGAGTAAATACTGATGCTATATGTATTGCTGATATAATGTGTCAAAGGGAGAATGTAAGAACGTTTCAGTTGCTTAATACAAGGCAATGCAATGCATACCAATTAGAATCTTGCAACATGTCGCCGCAATGCTTTCAAGAAATTTATTAGCATTTATCATGAGGCCGATTCAGGAAAGCAGCCCCTTATTTGAGTACATAATCCTAAATCGAAAACTTGCAAGTACATTTAATGCAGATCTCCATAGCAAAAAGTCCTATCAAGTATTGCATACCTACTGATTAGATAATTGATTCTTTCAGAGAATACATGCGGGTTCCTTATCTTCTATAACTGGGAGAAACACAATACTCACACAGTGAGAGAGTGAGAGAGAGAGAGAGAGAGAGAGAGAAATGGCAGAGATAAACAGACGTAGACCCTACATAATGCAATTCTTAAATTCAGTCGATGTCACAGTTAAAAACTAACATTTAAGTATTTAAGTTACGAGGCCCTTTAGAGAGGAAAAAACTGTGAACTGAATCGGATCGAAGAGGATAATAATAATCAATTTTAATAATAATCAATAATAATAGACTTTGTCTGAAATATGACAGAATGCTTCAACTTTTATAATGTGGCCTTATCTTTTCATGAAATGACAACAAATAAACTAAGGTTCTTAAACAAGTAAAGAGTAAAAGTGTTATGGGTATACAAGTAAGGATAATTGATAGAATGGGGGAGAAGGAGAGAGTAATAAACGAGACGATAAGTTCTTTAGAATATGAGAGATTTTAGATAATATCAGTAGAAGAGATCCTAGTTAAGTACTAATAATAGTGACAATAGAGGAATACTTGTTCGCGTATTTATGGAGGGAGTATTACAAAAGCAACATGAAAGACTTGTTAAGTGAATACGGAAATTTTAAATGAGTGGACATGATTAATAACGCAAACACATTTTCGAGAGAAAAAATTGGTGTATTCTGTGTGCCGAGTGTGAACGTGTTTGTGTGTGTGTGGATTTTTCTATTTTTGGATGCAAATATGTATATGTATATACATACATAACATATGTATATGTATATTTCTATGTGTGTGTGTGTGGGTGTGTGTGTGTACGTATATATATATATATATATATATATATATATATATATATATATATATATAGTATATATATATTATATATATTTAATGTATGCATGTATGTGTATGTGTGTGTGTACGTATTTATGTTATATAATCATATATTGTGTGTGTAATGTGAGTGTGTATGCGTGTGTTGGGGGGTTTATATATGTATATTAACACCATACACCAATGTAACAACATACACAGTATATACATACATATATCATAGGGTATATAATATAATTATATATATATAGCTATATTTATATAATATATATATGCATTTGTGTGTTTTTAATGTGTGTGCGCATATATATGCAATATATATATATATATAGTAATAATATATATATATATAGATAAGTATAGTATATATTAACGTAGATATATGCATGTGTGTATGTGTGTGCGCATATTTTATATACATATATATATGATACTATAATATAATATATATATATATATTTTGTTACATACATATATGTATGCATACATTATGCATATAAATGTATGTGTATGTGTTTGTGAGTGTGTGTGTGCTGTGTGTGTGTTACACGTATACACACGCACAACATATACAAACACACATCATATATATATTTATATACATATATATATGTATGTATGATGTATGTATATATGTGTGTGTATACATATATATATATATAATATGATATGAATATATTTGTATATATATAACATATATATATTTAGGTATGTTTATGTATACATTATATATTTATACATGCATATATAATACATACATATATATATACATACATACATGTGTGTGTGTATATATATTATATATATAGATATAATAAGTATATATATATATATATATAATATATATATATTATTATGGGATGTTTGTGTGGGTGTGCGTGTGGTATATATAAGCACCATTCTTTTCCTCAAGAAATATGGAATATAAAGGATATATTTGTTTCATGGAAGTGGCATGGCTCAACTTTACACAAATTGTTTGTTGAAATTATGTATGCTTTCTATCATCAGTGCACTTGCTTATAAAGAAACTGAAAAAACGGAAATACAAAATTCTTTTTATGCACTAACTACCCTTCTAGTTTTAATTGCGTTTCCCATTACATGCTGCGGAAGTACTTTCTAAAACAGTTGTAAAATCCTCCCTCCCTTCCCGGCCAATAAACAAGACCTTGGCCATGGGCTTTTCTAAGGACAGAAAGACTATTTAAACCCGCAGTTTTAAGATCTAGTCAACAGTTCCTCTCATTCACCGGAAACATGAACTTTGTTGTAAGTCCTGAGCAAAAGGGCTCATTCTCTAAACAAGTCGGACGTAAATTTCCTGATACGTAGATACTGACCTCATCTAATAATGCACATACTTAAGCTATGTTTTTCTTTTCTTCATTTGCTTATCTTCGCTTGCGTGGCAGCCGTGGCCGTCGCCGCCCCTCAGTACAGTTACGTCACTCCCGACTCTAGCGAGGAAGTCGAATTCGTTCCGATCCTGAGGGACGACCGCGTCCACGAGGAAGATGGGACTTACAGGTTTGACTTCGAGGCTGGAAATGGCATCCGTTTCTCCCAGTCTGGATCCCCCGACGGAGATGAGGACGCTGTGATCAAGGCTGGAGAATATTCGTAAGTAGTTCCTGTGTTCTGTATACTTAATGTCAGATCACATACATTTCACCTTAATGTTACTCATACCTGACCCCATAATTCTATCAACCTCTCACCATTGCAATCTAATGACAGTAATCAATTTTCCATGACATACAGGTACACTGCCCCTGACGGCACCCCTATCCACGTCCGCTTTGTAGCTGACGAGAACGGCTTCCAGCCCCAGGGCGCCCACCTGCCCGTGGCTCCCGAGTTCCCCCACCCGATCCCTCAGTTCGTCCTCGACCAGATCGCCTTCGCCGCCGAGGAGGACGCCGCCCGCGCTCGCCAGGAGTTAGAAGTGTCTTCTCCAGCAGGATTTTATCGTTACCCTCACAGGGAAAAGCAAAAACTGACAAGTGTATTTATTTTATTTTCTAAATATATTTTCTATACAACATAATCGTTACATTTTGTTTCCTATGTTACACGAACTTTTCATAATCTAGAAGCACAAGTAAATCCTTTTTGTTGGATGTTCTTATTCCAAATAACATTCATTCGTCTCCTTATGAAAAAAAAAAAAAAAAAACAGAAAGTAAATGTGAAACCAAACTACTACTACTACTAAAAAATAATGAATAAATGAGTAAATCTCATTCTTAAAAAAAAAAAAAAAAAGTATTGAAGAATATTAAACGTATTTTTTTAAATCCCATTCTTCAATTAACAAATTTAGAAATCATTTTAAACTATTGAAAGTAAAAAAAAAGCATCCCAATCCTAAAAGAAATAAATTGACTTTCCTATGAGCCATATAGTATTTCGATAAGGTTGTGTATCAATCTCGGCTTCAACCCAAAGATTACATACTGAATGAGAAGGAAGCTCTGAAGGAAAAGATGAAGGAAAGAAATGTATCGGTTAGTCATTAAAAACATATTTCGTACTTCATACGCCGTAGTTAAAGCATCCTTATATAATATTTGAAATACTGTTTTTTACAATAAGAATCTATAAAGAGTTTAGTTATTATTACACTGTAGTGCTAGATTTAAGACCACCTCAATCTAGTGTTCAGATTTAAGATTACCAAGAGGAAATCAAATAAGAGCGAGAGAATGAGAGAGATAAGAGAGAGAGAGAAAGAGTGAATGAGAGAGAGAGGTGCAGTGTGTTGTGTGAGAGAGAGAGAGAGAGAGAGAGAGAGATAAGAGAGAGATGAGAGGGAAAGAGAGAGAGGGAGAGATAAAGAAAGTAATAGACAGAGAAACAGAACAAGAGAGAGAAAAACAGAACCAGAAAGAGAAAGAAAGAAACACTAAACTAAAAAGAGGGAAAGCTAGAAACAAAGAAAGAGAGAAACATTTATCGACATTTATCCTTCTTTTCGTCTTCCCTTTTCACTCTAAACGTATGCAGATTTCACATTCAAGTATTACTATAACATCACGATCCAAGCATATTAAGGAGAAACACAGTAAAATATTACCAACAGAGGCTACAAGTAAATGACACTTAAAGTTAAAGGTCTCACCTCCTATTTTTACAACAACTACTTTCGTGTCGCACCGAGAACGTTCAAAACGTTTTTTAAATTATCGTTGAACAGATGTATGCTCTACGCGTATACATAGTTACCTATTCCTGATGTCAATTATTCATTCTAAAACCACTTTTCGATGATTCTGCTGCAGACTATAAAGCAACGATGTCAGAATATAAATTTATTCTTTTGTTTAAAAAATGTGGAACGTGTGCCCGAGTTATTACTTTATTTGTATGTCGTTTATGATGTATCTTTATCTCGATCATTGACTCTGTTCAGCTTCAATGGAGTAAATATGTC